GACTTTAGGAAAGAAACGAGGGGATAGATGGACCCCTGGGAAAATGGGGCCCAGAGTGTCCCAAATTCAATGGAAAAGCGAGGGGGTTGCTCATCAACCCAGCGCCCCATAAAACGGACCGGGTAGGAGAGTATTTCCCATAATTTCTTATTTTTTCCAGACTGCACTCAAGAAGAAGCAGAGGTGATGGTGGAAAAACATAGTTCGCCAACAAGTGCGTTTAGCTTCCGGATGACACGGCGAGCGATCGCAGTTCTGTTAAAATAAGAAGTCTCTCGCGGTTCTATTGTCCCGGTCCCTGCCCCTTTTGCAGCGCTTTTTAAAACGTATGTACGAGCACAAGCAGGAGATCCCCAAAGGCACGCACTTTGGAATGCCTCCCTGATTTTATTTTGGGTATGATGAGAAGCTGCGGTATAAACTGAGTCAGAAGATGTGTAGGAGCTCATCAATGGGGGATGAAAAAGGAAAACCTCAAAAAAGCAGTGAGGGTGGTAAAGACCCCCAATTTGCCGACAAATTCCCACGGGGCTACGGAAAGGTGGGAAATTAGAAAGGAGAAGTAAGAATGATTGGAAAAGATCACTGTATTAGCCCGGTAGAACGACCAGGTGAAGTCTAGTGAGTGGGGGAAGAGCAAAATGATAGTCGATGCAAGAGAGAGTATGAGTACGAGGATAAAAAATGGGTGGGAGTCCCCGTATTTAAAACATGGAGGGGGTGAGAGGCGAGAAAAGCCCCCAAATGGATCCCACGTCAGTCACAATGAGACCCCCCCCAGAGGAAATGGTGGGCATTAAAATACCAAGTAACAGAAGTGGTGGTTTGGGAAGGATAAACAAAAAGGCAAAGTTGGTAGAAAATGTCGAGAAGGGAGAGATATAAAAAAAATATTGTAAAACCCCTTATTCAAGTGGATACGGGCTGCAGTGTAATGCGCGAGGTTGGAAAATAGTTGACAGTAGGAATATCATTGGTAGAAGAAGGGCACTTTCATTTTAAAGGTCCCATTGAGAAAAGGGTCCGAAGAATACAAAAAATTATAGCCGAGATGGTTGGAAAAAGCCGAGTGTATTTTTTGGTCTTGTAAGCAGCACTAACAGGGGGAAAATGGAAACAAAAATTGAAGCTCACCCCCGATTTCCCCCGAGGCGCGGATATCTTGTAAATAGGCCATGATTTGGGATGAAGAAAATACCGGAATTGTAGGTAAAGGACCCACGGATAGAGGGGTTAGAAAGTCACGTATGGGGATTTGGGGACGTTAAGCAGCGAAGGGTGGAGCTTGCAAGAATGGGTTGTGAAGATGGAGGAGAGGGGAAAAAGAAGGAAAGGGAAATGATCAGTGTCCCTTGAAGGGTTTTGTCTGCAATATTTTCTGAAATGGGTTCAAGTGTTTCTGAATTTAAAAATGTATGGGAGACCCTATTGGGGGTAAGAAGGAGGAGGGTGAGTAAAGTTGGGACAGTAATGGACTGTACCAAAGTAGAGGGGGAGGGAAGAGTGTAAGGGACTGGGGGAAATGTGGGGGGGGGACAGAAAAGGCAGAAACCTGGGGGTGTCAGAAAGAGGGGAAATGGGAGGGGGCGGGGGGGGGGAAGCATAGTACGAGGAGGAGGGTGAATCTCCTCACTTGTAATAGAGCCCGAGAGAGGGAAGAATAGGTCAGAGACTGGGAAAAGGGAAAGTGTGGGGGTGGAAGAAGGGAAGGGGGGGCAAAGAAGATTTGAGCATGTGGATTTTTTGGATTTGAGAAGTAGGGGGCGATTGGTATTAGGTGTGTACGAGGTCTTGTTGATACTGGGCTTGTGAGGAAAGGGGGCGAAAATGTGAGAACAGATGGTTGTAGCAGGACGTCGAGCCGGACAGCAAAGGATTTGATGCGGAGGGCTATGGGAGGGGGGAAAACGGGGAGGCTGCAGGAAAATGGGACCCCCGAATGGGGGGATGTTTTGGAAAAAACGAGAATAAAAAACACGGGGTAGTCTCCCTTGGAGGCGGGATGAGTAACTGCCTAGCATAAGGGGACCTGCCTTTTGAGGCAACGGATTTCCGTTCATTTTAAATGACTGCAACGGGGGAGTACGAAAGGGGGAGTTCATTACAATTTAGGCAAGAGGAGGTTGACTGCAAGATGTATTAGAATGGTCGTCGGGACCACAGATGGGCATTCGGCCTAGACTGCAAATTTCGCTGGGTGACCAAAAGCCAGCAAATTTTTACATTGTTGCGGGTAGGGATCACCTTTCGAACTTGTAAACCATGTCCCGCGACAATACAGAGGGGGGAGTTTTCGGCTGTCAAAGTTAAAACAGTCGCATTGCAAGGGGAACGTCTCCCCCCCCGGGCAGGGGGACATAAGTTTACTTTGAGGTTTTGGGGGATCCTGGAGTTCAGCTGTTCAAGAAAGTCATTGCCATGTGGAAATTTGTTGGACTATGGTATGGGGCAGAATGAAGTACCCCTCAAAAATTGAGAGAAAAATGTTTTTTAATAGTGATAGGATAGGTGCAATATGATAGGAGTTGATCCCCTGTATCAGAAAACCTCCCCATGAGGATAGCTGAGGGCCTGAATTGCACTTCTGAAAGAGGAAGTTAGGGGGGATATGTTGAGGTGTATAAATGGAAGGCAGGAATAAAAAAAAGGGGGTGTAAATAGTGTGCGAAAATATTAGCCCAGAAGGAGTCGCAGCAAGGTTTTAAGTTGGAAAAATTCAGATTCAGGAAAAGGGTATAGGAAAATACTGGTTTGGTAATAGAGTTGTGGATGAGTGGAAAAAACTCCCGAGTACGTTATAGAGGCCAGAAGTTGTGTGCTTTAAAAAAAAAGGTGGATAAATACTGAGTGGATGTGGTGGGTGTGAGTTGGAACCCTTTGTTGTGCTACCAGGTCGGTTGCCTGTTTCCCCTTTAAATCAAGTGACCTGACCTGACTAGTTTTGGGTGCATTGGCTTAAAACCGGTAGGGATTGGGCCCGCCCCGATGGGCCAGTAGGCCTTCTGCAGTGTTCCCTTTGTTTTATGTTCTTATGTATCGATATTCGAAAGGAGAGAAAGATCATGAGTTGGGTGCATTTGGAAGTGACGATCGCGTACCCCTCTTGAGAGCATAAAATGAATATCTCTACCAAAAATACGCGGAGCGCTTTGCCAAAACTATGGGCAGAAAAGGGAGGCAGAAGAAGAAGTCGGTCTTAAAGTAAAAAAAAAAAAAAAAAAAACCAAAAAAAAATAAAAAAAGAAGTCTTGGTGTGTCGGCTTTTGAGTAGGGGAAAAGGGAAGGAACGAAGGGGCACATCAGGAATGAGTTGGCGTTTAGGATAGGACGGAGTTGGGCCGGCATGGAGGGGTGGGCGATTCCCAAAATTGCCCTTTCCGAGAGGGGAAGCGGAAGATAGTCAAAGGAGAGCGGAGTCAGAAAATCGAAGGGTCGTCGAAAACCCCGGTACCCGAAGGGGTGAGGAAACAGCACCAGAAAAAGGTACAGGGGCTCAGGAAGTCCGAAAACGGGTCAGAAATGGGGTGCGGTATCAAGAAGGGGCCCGGGGGTAGTGGGTTCATGGATTGGGTTCTCCATGGTTAGGTTACTCCTTTGCTTTTTGTTTTTAAGAAAAAAAAGAAAGAAGAAAAGAAAATAAAAATAAAAAAAAGAATAAAAAAGGGGGGAAAGCGGGGAGGAATAGTTCCCAGGAGGAATGAAAGGGCCCGGAAATCTCCCTCCGCCCCCAAGAGGACCTCAGCACCGCTATTTAGCGCAGATGCAGCATGGAACCCGTGCCATACCCTACCCTTCATGCCAGTAAACCAGCAATCCGGGATAGCAACCTCACATCTGCCGAGCTACCTCGGTGGACAAAAGAGAGGGCGGCTGGATATCCGCCACAAAGCATACCTCCTTCGGCCACCACCCCCGGAATCCGAAAGGTGGCTTCCAGAGACACCCGTGTCGCCCGAAAGACACCCAAAGCTACTCTGGGATACCGGAGAGAGGGATCGGGACATCCCCAGGCGATCCAGATTCCACAGCAAACTACGCCACCGCCAAGAACCTCAACGGAATGGGATGGAGCCCGGTGTCCTTTCCCCTACCTAGGAACTAGCACGCCTGTGGGAGAAATCCCAAAGGCCAAAAAGAGGAAGGGCAAAAGGGAGGGGTGGGGAGGAGGAGGAGGAATGGAAAAAGGGGAGGATCGGATAGGGGAGGGGAGAATGGGGGGTAATTAGGTTCGGTCTGAGGAAGAAGACCGACAGGTCTAATTCCTCAGACCAAGAGCCTCTTCACCACGCCAAGGAGCCCCCCTTGAAGAGGGGAAAATCTGGAGCAAAGGCAAGAAGACTGGCGGTCATATAGGCGTCAGTGGATAAGGATGTGCAGCAGACGAGGGCATGGTCACTGGTAGGCAGGATTCCCAAGTGGAAGTAGGTCCTTCCCAAAGAGATGGGTTAGTTATAGCAGCCGTGAAGAAGGTTTTGTAGATGTCCTCTGAACCAAGATTCCATGATGTTGCAGTGCCTGACAAGTTGTGCAAGAAATAAAAATAAACCTTGAAGTATGTTTCCAAATATGTCATCTTAATATACAATGATTGGAAAGCCATTATCTTTATATGATTATCTGGATGCTTTTAACATAAATGTACAAAATAATTGTATTCAAGAATTATTATTATCACAAAATGGATGTCTCTAATCTTTATTTTAATTTTAATCATTACAACAATCATGTAAAAAATAACAAGTGAGGCTCCTGTGGTGTAGGATTGCAGTACAGTTCTGGCTGAAAAACAGAAAATCAGCTGTTTGATATTGTACTTTCTGTAGTAATTTATTTCCTTTGATGGCTTCTGTCTTGCTTTCAGTTTCTTGTAAACTGGGTTACTAATAATTCTTTATTCTTCAGTAATATATAAAGTAGAGTATTTCTAATTTGATTACTGTATTACACAATGTTTAATTTAGTGAACATTTTGTCTCATAAATATTGCTTTTGTTTGACAGATCCACCGTTCCTGTGACAAACTTGAATCTCAGTTTAGCAGTGTAAGCCTTGATATTGGTGGTGTAGAAGGCCAGCTTAGAGAACATGAGGCATCGAAACAAGCAGTTTTGGAACTAATGAAATTTGCTCAAAATGAAGCTGATTCTATAATATCCAAGATTAAAGATCAGGTAACATTTCTAGATTTTCAGTGATTAATATTATATTCAGCACTACTTTTTTGTAGATAATTTTAAGCTCTGCAAATGGGGTTAAAAAATGAGAAATAGTTGTTTGTATAAGAGTATAACTTTTTTATATAGTAAACCATTTCTTGTGCTGCAGTTATATTCATGAAAAGAATTGTTCAAATAATTCATGTTGTAAAACTTGAACATATTGAAAAAAAAATAGGGTTATGTTCCAGGACTGAAACTTTTTTCCTAAAATAAATGCAGTATTGTACAACTTGCTTCTCCTTCTGGCAGCTCTGACTTACAAAAATTGTTTATCCTGTTAAAAAATGTTCTTGTAGGCCTACTAGATTGAGGTTTAAGGTTGTGGTTCTTGTGGATGTTGCTCAAGCCTATTCAGATGTTAGTGATTTTATTGGTGTGACAAAGTATTCTTTTATGTACTTGTTTTGTTGTAGCCTTCATTGATTTAAAGAGCAAGTGATATAGTAGTGTTAACATCCTTGCCCATTCATTGGACTAACAGGAAATGAATAAAATGGGCTTCCTGCTGTATAAGGTATGAGTTCCTGATGCATTAACACACAGAAGCAGTATGAGATGATGATTATAGGTGACCTAGAGCCTGGGTGCAATCATCTCTTGCATTCTGTTGTAGGTGCCTGATAACATTAATTTTAAACATAACTGTCTCATCTGAAAACTTTGTTGGGGTTGTATTCATTATTTTGAGCAGTCTGGGAAAACTCAGCTAGGTGATCAGCAGATGCATCTCTCTAGAAAACTTAATGTTGCATAGTGTTTTGCTCTTCAAATGTTCAAACTGCCCAGATCTAAATTTGGATTGCTCACAGACAGTAGCAGACATACTCCTTAATCACAAGGCCACGAATTTTAGCCTCCTTTTTTTTTTTCTTGTTTTTATCCCATAATCTTGATGTTGAACAACTGCTGTCTTATTGAAATGTACAGACTTTCCTCATCTTTTTTCAGTGATTCAGGGTTCCTAGCAGTATACGCTCACACAGAGGCTATTGTAGCTTCCTAACTCTTCTAAGCTGTATGAATGGTCAAATGGTTTACTTTATTTTTTTGTCAGTAGCCTCTTCATAGATTCTCATTTGTTCATACTGCTAGCAAGCCTGTTGGGTGCTATGGTAATGGCAGTGAGGAATTTGTAGTAAAGACAAAAGAAGCTTAGTAGATATGAGCTAAATGATGTGAGAGTATTGACACAGTGACTTAAGCATTAGTGGTAGGTGGTAAGAGTAGGAAAGGTAGTTTGTCAAACAAGACCACATCACATGAGCTACTCCAGACCTATGCATGTCTCCTGGGCAGCATGCATTATTCAGATTTCTTGTATTTTTGACCGTGCTTAATAGCAAATACCAAGAAACTACCTTAAGGGTTGCGAGGTATAAGCTTCATTCAATTCAAAGCATGGTTGAAAAGTAATTTTAGAAAAAAAAATTTACTTTATTTTATTATGATTAGTTAAAATAGTACAATTCCTTCTAATAATGAGTGGATGCTCTTAGTTTATTATTTGTGAATATTGTATTAGGAGTGTGGGAATACTTATTATATTATATACTGGTATTTATTTATGATAATTGCTTTTGTAATTAGTGTCCCCCTGAGGCTGGTGCCCAAGATGTTGCTGTTATTGAAGAGATGCTGAAAAGACGGGGTAGAGAGTTTGAGACTGTGTGGCTTCAACATCAATACATGCTAGAGAGACAACTGAAACGGTCACAGTATCATGTTGACCTCCAGGTATTGAAAAAACTAATTCTCTATTCACTTAATTATTTAGAATGATGATATTAATTTTAAAATGATAGTGACTAAAATGCATAATATTTTTGACCACCTCTGCCTTCTCTCATCAAATAGGGTGCCCCATCCCAAAAGAAAAAAACAGTAACCATGTAATTGTATTTTTTATATACCGCAACTGCCTGTAGGCTGAAGCAAGTACTATGACTCTTTAGACTGTGTGAAATACTACTATGTAAAACCTAAATATTAAAACTGAATTATAAGACTTCAGTCATTTTAAGATAGTATCTTATACCATCTGTGATGTTTAAAATTTTTCTTTTTAAGGTGATCAGTGACCAGCTGCGTGATCTGAGTGAGCAGCTCAGTCGTATGCGAGGTCATTATGGTGATTCATTGGCAGCAGCTACAAATATGCAGACTGCATTCAATCAGTTCCTGATTACTGTTGATGTAAGTTTCCTGTGAGATTTGAATAACTCCACATTAAATCTTATTAGTCTCTCATATCATTGTTTAGTTGTTTTTAGCTATATGTTTTAGCTAATGGATCAGTTGATCTCAGTCATACTTTTAGGCTTGACTCTGAAGGAAGTGAAGGTGAAAGTGTTTCTTTCACTGATGGTCTTTTCTTTATCTGTATTCACATGGAATCATAGATTTGTTGCATTTTCCTGCCTTCTGTCTTTTTCAATCTTTCTTTCCTAATTTTTTTTTTTTAACACATCAGCTGTTTCCCACCGAAAAGAATTGGTAACTTCTTCATCAGGACGTTGAATAACCAATCTATACAAATCATTAACAGATGTTTAAAGTGATTTCTCGACTATCTTTTAATACTTAAAAGCATTTGAAATGTCTGGGAAACATTCTACATGAATTTCCTACCCTCTTAACAAAACAAACAAAGCAAAAGTTTATTTCTTTGCAAAGGTCACAATGTGTTGTTTTAAAAATAAATAACAAAAAAGGCACAATACCGTGACTGGAACGATACACAAATAAACCCGCACATAAAAGAGAGAAGCTTACGACGACGTTTCGGTCCGACTTGGACCATTGACAAAGTGACTTTGTCAATGGTCCAAGTCGGACCGAAACGTCGTCGTAAGCTTCTCTCTTTTATGTGCGGGTTATTTGTGTGTGTGTGTGTTTACATTTCATAATTTGATTGGTACAAAGAAAACCACTATCATGCCGAGGCATTTCGGGCAGACTTAACCTAATACTTAGACTACAAACCAAGGAAGACCATGGAGGAAGCATGCATTGTGGGTTTATGATTTACTCTACCAATGGACAAAGAAAATACAATGAAAGTGAGTAATGTATATACAGCTGGGGTTCCCAGACTTGGGTATGTGTTCCCTCAGAGATACACAAGGGGATTGTAAGGGGTGAGTGAGTTAGAATTATTGGTTGTGTTATTGTCCTCATTATTTTTTAAATTTGTTTATTTTTTTAACACATTGTTTACATATGATTCAGTATTTTATAGACAGATGTTTGCAAATATTGAGATAACCTTGTAATAAAAATAAGTGTTGCAGTGCTGTACTTACATAATAGTACATCAAAGTATGTTCTTGTAAAAATATCAATAATCATCATTAGGTGTTGCACCAGTTAATATGCAAGTAGAGTTGTGAAGAATTAAAGTACACAAATGTAAAGAAGTTTCCTTTGTAATGTGTGATGCTTCTTAACTAGTGACCATGTACTATCTTTTTGTAACTCTTATTTATTGTATTCCTTACCCAGATGTTAGAAAACCGTATTCAGACATTTGTTAGTACAACCATAAAGATGTTGGGGCCAGAAGATGACTCAGGAGAAGTACAAGAAGATTTGGCAGAGTTGGAGAAAAAATGGTCCACTTTCCAAATGCAAGTTGGACAATCCAAGAAATCAATAGAGCTTTCCATAGTCTTTTACAAGCTTGTTGAAGAAGTAAGTTACAAATACAGTACAGTACTGTTATTTTGTAATAATTTGTGTTGCTTAGTACATGTTCTGATTGTGTTATACTGTACATTGAGCTTATATCATTTCTAGGTTAGACCAGTTATTCATTATTATGGGCTATTGAAAACAAGAAAATACATGTAAATATTTACACTTCACCTAGGTAGTAGGTTGGTAGACAGCAACCGCCCAGGGAGGTACTACCGTCCTGCCAAGTGAGCGTAAAACGAAAGCCTGTAATTGTTTTACAAGATGGTAGGATTGCTGGTGTCCATTTTTCTGTCTCATAAACATACAAGGTTTCGGGTACATCTTGCTACTTCTACTTACACTTAGGTCACACTACACATACATGTCTTTTTTTTTTTTTCAACAAGTCGGTCGTCTCCCACCGAGGCAGGGTGACCCAAAAAAGAAAGAAAATCCCCAAAAAGAAAATACTTTCATCATCATTCAACACTTTCACCACACTCACACATTATCACTGCTTTTGCAGAGGTGCTCAGAATACAACAGTTTAGAAGCATATACTTATAAAGATACACAACATATCCCTCCAAACTGCCAATATCCCAAACCACTCCTTTAAAGTGCAGGCATTGTACTTCCCATTTCCAGGACTCAAGTCCTACTATATGAAAATAACCGGTTTCCCTGAATCCCTTCACTAAATATTACCCTGATCACACTCCAACAGATCGTCAGGTCCCAAGTATCATTCATCTCCATTCACTCCTATCTAACACGCTCATGTACGCTTGCTGGAAGTCCAAGCGGCTCGCCCACAAAACCTCCTTTACCCCCTCCTTCCAACCCTTTCGAGGACGACCCCTACCCCTCTTTCCTTCCCCTATAGATTTATATGCTTTCCATGTCATTCTACTTTGATCCATTCTCTCTAAATGACCAAACCACCTCAACAGCCCCTCTTCTGCCCTCTGACTAATGCTTTTATTAACTCCACACCTTCTCCTAATTTCCACACTCCGAATTTTCTGCATAATATTTACACCACACATTGCCCTTAGACAGGACATCCCCACTGCCTCCAACCGTCTCCTCGCTGCTGCATTTACCACCCAAGCTTCACATCCATATAAGAGTGTTGGTACTACTATACTTTCATACATTCCCCTTTTTTGCCTCCATAGATAACGTTTTTGACTCCACATATACCTCAACGCACCACTCACCTTTTTTCCCTCATCAATTCTATGATTAACCTCATCCTTCATAAATCCATCCGCCGACACGTCAACTCCCAAGTATCTGAAAACATTCACTTCTTCCATACTCCTCCTCCCCAATTTGATATCCAATTTTTCTTTATCTAAATCATTTGATACCCTCATCACCTTACTCTTTTCTATGTTCACTTTCAACTTTCTACCTTTACACACATTCTCAAACTCATCCACTAACCTTTGCTATTTTTTTTTAGAATCTCCATAAGCACAGTATCATCAGCAAAAGTAAAATGTGTCAGTTCCCATTTGAATTTGATTCCCCATAATTTAATCCCACCCCTCTCCCGAACACCCTAGCATTTACTTCTTTTACAACCCCATCTATAAATATATTAAACAACCATGGTGACATTACACATCCCTGTCTAAGACCTACTTTTACCGGGAAGTATTCTCCCTCTCTTCTACACACCCTAACCTGAGCCTCACTATCCTCATAAAAGCTCTTTACAGCATTTAGTAACTTACCACCTATTCCATAAACTTGCAACATCTGCCACATTGCTCCTCTGTCCACTCTATCATATGCCTTTTCTAAATCCATAAATGCAATAAAAACTTCCCTACTTTATCTAAATACTGTTCACATATATGCTTCAATGTAAACACTTGATCTACACACCCCCTACCACTCTGAAGCCTCCTTGCTCATCCGCAATTCTACATTCTGTCTTACCTCTAATTCTTTCAATTATAACCCTACCATATACTTTTCCTGGTATACTCAGTAAAACTTATTCCTCTATAATTTTTACAATCTCTTTTGTCCCCTTTCCTTTATATAAAGGGACTATACATGCTCTCCGCCAATCCCTAGGTACCTTCCCTCTTTCATGCATTTATTAAACAAAGTACCAACCACTCCAACACTATATCCCCCCCTGCTTTTAACATTTCTGTCATGATCCCATCAGTTCCAGCTGCTTTACCCTCTTTCATTCTACGTAATGCCTCACGTACCTCCACCACACTTACATTCTGCTCTTCTTCACTCCTAAAAGATGGTATACCTCCCTGGCCAGTGCATGAAATTACCGCCTCCCTTTCTTCCTCAACATTAAAAGTTCCTCAAAATATTCTCACCATCTACCTAATACCTCCCTCTCCCCATCTACTAATCCCCTACTCTGTTTTTAACGGACAAATCCATACTTTCCCTAGGCTTTCTTAACTTGTTTAACTCACTCCAAAATTTTTTCTTATTTTCATTAAAATTTCTTGACAGTGCCTCTCCCACTCTTTCATCTGCTCTCCTTTTGCACTCTCTCACCACTCTCTTCACCTTTCTTTTACTCTCCATATACTCTGTTCTTCTTATAACACTTCTGCTTTGTAAAAACCTCTCGTAAGCTACCTTTTTCTCTTTTATCACACCCTTTACTTCATCATTCCACCAATCACTCCTCTTTCCTCCTGCCCCCACCCTCCTATAACCACAAACTTCTGCCCCACATTCTAATACTGCATTTTTGAAATCTATTCCAACCTCTTCAACCCCCCCCCCCCTTTACTCATCTTTGCACTAGCCCACCTTTCTGCCAATAGTCGCTTATATCTCGCCCGAACTCCTCCTCCCTTAGTTTATACACTTTCACCTCCCTCTTACTTGTTGTTGCCACCTTCCTCTTTTCCCATCTACCTCTTACTCAAACTGTAGCTACAACTAATAATGATCTGATATATCAGTTGCCCCTCTATAAACATGTACATCCTGGAGCCTACCATCAACCTTTTATCCACCAATACATAATCTAACAAACTACTTTCATTACGTGCTACATCATACCTTGTATATTTATTTATCCTCTTTTTCATAAAATATGTATTACTTATTACCAAATTTCTTTCTACACATAACTCAATTAAAGGCTCCCCATTTACATTTCCCCTGGCACCCAAATTTACCTACTACTCCCTCCATAACATTTTTACCCACTTTAGCATTGAAATCCCCAACACCATTACTCTCACACTTGATTCAAAACTCCCCACGCATTCACTCAACATTTCCCAGAATCTCTCTCTCTCCTCTACACTTCTCTCTTCTTCAGGTGCATACACGCTTACGATAACCCACTTTTCACATCCAATCTTTATTTACTCCACATAATCCTTGAATTTATGCATTTGTAGTCCTCTTTTCCTGCCATAGCTTATCCTTAACATTATTGCTACTCCTTCTTTAGCTCTAACTCTATTTGAAACCCCTGACCTAATCCCATTTATTCTCCTCCATTGAAACTCTCCCACCCCCTTCAGCTTTGTTTCACTTAAAGCCAGGACATCCAGTTTCTTCTCATTCATAACATCCACAATCATCTCTTTCTTATCATTTGCACAACATCCACGCACATTCAGACTTCCCACTTTGACAATTTTCTTCTTATTCTTTTTAGTAATCTTTACAGGAAAAGGGGTTACTAGCCCATTGTTCCCGGCATTTTAGTTGACTTTTACAACACGCATGGCTTACGGAGGAAAGTTTCTTATTCCACTTCCCCATGGATATAAAAGGAAAAGTAATAAGACCAAGAACTATTAAGATAAAATCAAAGAAAACTCAGATGAGTGTGTATAAATAAACGTGTACATGTATGTGTAGTGTGACCTAAGTGTAAGTAGAAGTAGCAAGATGTACCTGTAATCTTGCATATTTATGAGACAGACAAAAGACACCAGCAATCCTACCATCATGTAAAACAGTTACAGTGGACCCCCGCATAACGATCACCTCCGAATGCGACCAATTATGTAAGTGTATTTATGTAAGTGCGTTTGTACGTGTATGTTTGGGGGTCTGAAATAGACTAATCTACTTCACAATATTCCTTATGGGAACAAATTCGGTCAGTACTGGCACCTGAACATACTTCTGGAGAGAAAAAATATCGTTAACCGGGGGTCCACTGTACAGGCTTTCATTTTACACTCACTTGGCAGGATGGTAGTACCTCCCTGGGTGGTTGCTGTCTACCAACCTACTACCTGCAATATACAAGCATATATATACACACCCCTCTGGGTTTTCTTCTATTTTCTTACTAGTTCTTGTTCTTGTTTATTTCCTCTTATCTCCATGGGGAAGTGGAACAGAATTCTTCCTCTGTAAGCTATGCGTGTTGTAAGAGGCGTCTCAAATGCCGGGAGCAAGGGGCTAGTAACCCCTTCTCTCGTATAAATTACTAAATTTAAAAAGAGAAACTTTCATTTTTCTGTTTGGGCCACCCTGCCTCGGTGGGATATGGCCAGTTTGTTGAAAGAAAGAAGAAACATGCAGGATACCAGGTATATCTTGCTACTTCTACATATACTTAGGTCACACTACACATGCATGTACATGCATGTACACCCATCTGGGTTTTCTTCTATTTTCTTAGTAGTTCTTGTTCTTCTTTTTTTCCTTTAATCTCCATGGGGAAGTGGAACAGAATTCTTCCTCTTTAAGGCATGTGTGTGTTGTAAGAGGCAACTAAAATGCTGCGAGCAAGGGGCTAGTAACCCCTTCTCCTGTATAGATTACTAAATTTAAAAGGAAAAACTTTAATTTTTCTTTTTGTGTCACCCTGCCTTGATGGGATACGGCTGGTTCATTAAAAGAAAAAAATTACACTTAAGAAATTACAAGCAAAGAGTCTTAAGATTTGAGATTGCTACTGCTTATTCTGAAGCCAGTGAATTAGTTTCTTCATATTTCCTGTTGTATGAAAAAAGATAAATTAATCCATAAAAAATTATTATTACAATATGATCATACTGTATGATCTATTATTCTCACCTCCTGCAAATCTTTACATCACAAGGTGAATTGCAGATGTTCAGAAACTGGGTGTTTTAATGTTA